GCCATGAAAAATGAAATCACATTTACACTAGGTTACTCTGAGCTATTATATCTTCCTGTTCTGCTATAATCAATCTGTCAGAACTCCAGGTGGTGGCCATGTATCAGCCTCTGCTGGTCATTCCTATGAGGCAGGGGTGCAACAATAGCCAAAGCGGCCCATGCGGTTGCTATGGGGCCTAGGGGTAGAAGGGGCCCCATGAAGGATTGCAGAAGTTGCTGTTGACCCCGTACCCCCTATGACATTTCCAGTCAAATAGAGCTGACATCAGATGTATAGGAAGGGAGTATCCAGACAGCTCTCCTGCTACCTGTCCTTGATTCTGATGTTAAGGGGTCGCAGAGGGGGCACAATCAAAATCTGGCTATGGGGTACCATGATCTGTAGTTACACCCCTGCTATGAGGGTTTCATGTTATCTGCACCCCCAGTTTTTGATTGGCTATTGTGGCTACCTATCCAAAGCCAGAAGAGCAAGGAATATGCCCCCCAAGAGAAAGGGGCTTGTAGGGGGTATAAATGTGCAGGTGGCCCAGGGAGAAGGTTATCAGGTTCCAAGAGAACTAACATGTTGTTTTGCCTCTGGAAAATGCCCCATTGGATGTCCATCTTCCAGGCTGCTTTGGTATGTAAATGCCAATTTCAACTGAGAAGTCTGAGCTTTGGCCCATCCCCTGAGGATCCCACTATTGGGTTTTCATTGTGATTGACAGCAGCGCTAACCTAAGCTGTACAATCAACTTGTGATATGTATGTCCAGCTTATCAATATATGGTTCCAGTACGGCTTGTCATCTATACCTTCAACTCAATACCTAGGTGAGACCTCACAAGCTGCCTGAGATCCAAAGGACACCAGATACTCAATCTATTTTATACCAACACAATCCTTTGTTACATACAAACAATCATTAGCATATAACCAATACATGTATTTCATTCTAAAGGATCCACTTATCATTGTTAAACTGAAAGTATAAAGATAAAATAATAAAAATAATTGTAGTCAGAGCCTCACTGATTCGTACCTGTAACATGCAGATGAGGACCCTACCTAACCTTGACCTGAGGTGTGCCACGGTCACTATGGTCAGTATGCAATAAGGGGGCATACTGAGAGCAATACCGATGGAAGGGGTACAAGAGGGTGGGATGACACGGTCGTCCCGATGGGTGAGTGGGGGAACCAGAGGGGCTTAAATGTGCGGGGCTCCTCCCACAAATCTGGCCAATAATTGGCCTCAAACTACTAATAATAATGATAATAATAATAATAATAATAATTTTGTTATATTTCTGTGTGCTTAAAGGAGATCTATGAGGCGAGTGCTGTTCACTCACCTCATAGTTCTAGCCGACCTGTGACAATGAGACTGTCACAGGTCGGCTCAGTAGATCGGGAGGTGAGCGAACATATACCGGCGCTCGCTCACCTCTCGATCCTGTCACGGCTCTCTGCCGTGACAGGGGGAGGGGCTGGATTCCCCCCTCCCCGCTCCGATCCTCCAGCCCTGACTGGCGGAACGGACGGGGGAGGGTACAGCTGGCTCTGCCTCTAGATAGGCAGAGCCAGCTGTCAGTCACGCAGCTGGGCGGATCCCTGCACAATTGTCGGGACCCGCTCCGGCTGCGGCGTCTCAGTATACCGCGAGCTGTGGCTCCCTATATACTGAGCCTAGGGTGACGGGAGGACGCTAGTTTGTGTCCTCCCGTTACCCTAAGGAGAACTATGGGGAAAAGCCCTGACACCATAGTTCTCCTTTAATATACATATAAGGTGACTATGAAGCTGCCAGAGAGCCGGAATCCAACCCCGGAACTGAGCTCATATTTGATACATTGTGTTACAGAATGATACTTAATGATACTTATATGAAACAATGTGACAGGATTGCTGCGGCTCTCATACACTGAAGCCGTGCAGTGGTTTGTCCGCCCCTCCTCTCCCCTTGGCCATTCACAGAATACAAAGCAGCTTCCATGTACGCGAGCCCACAGTTCCCATAGTCACTCTTGCTGTACATCTGCTGAATGAATGTGTCACTATCAGTGGTGTATTTTGGTTTTGTGCTGCCCTAGGCAAGGCTAAACTCGGGCACCCACCTCAATTTTGTGCTGCCCAAAAGGCAAGTCTGGCCCTGTGTGCCTAATTGGTGTGGGTTGGTGTTCTCTGCTGCCCCCCTGGAATGTGCCGCCCTAGGCAAATGCCTAGTTTGCCTTCTGGTAGATACACCCCCTGGTCACTATTACAATGAAGACATGGATACTTAAAATGACATACATCTCCTGACAGCTAATCGTTAACGCTAAATATTTACACTGCAGATACAGTATATAAAGAAGAAAAAAAAAGCTTTTCTGGAACTCTATTTTAAAGTATATTTCAACTTTAGATTGACAGCCCATATCCAGGAAAATGTGACCAGGTTCAGGATGGTGGAGTTTCAATGAGGGGGGTATTAAGGAAAGCAGGGAAGGGCGCTGTTTGTGGTGGGATTAAAAGATTACTTCATGTGATAAAAATAAAAATGTTATTAGAAATTGGTTGTTCAGCGGTTAAATGTTTATCCCATGCCGAAAGATGAGGATTGCTCACCTCAAATTGTATTTGCCTTTTTGCAGCCAGATTGGGATAACGCCTATTTGATGTTTGTTATATGTTCCCCGTTCACATCGCATAAGCTAACAAAAAATGTAAACAAAAATGTGTATGTGCTTTTTACTTGCTGAGAAATCCAACCTTGCTTTCCTCTATGTAGTGTTAAAGAGGGGCCTGGGGGAAGTTACCTTTACTCTATATAACCCTGCGTGTACGATGCTGGCAGATCTCATTATCAGTTGTACACTAGATTTGAAGACTGTCTGTCCTAACAAAGGGTTAAAGAGTTGGAGGCATTATGTGTTCATGAGAGGAAACTCTGCTTGCTGGTACCAGGTCGCGGCCCCCCAGGATCACCCTGCCAAGGGATGGACAAAGACAGAAGGACTCCAATGAGGAGACAGTAGTCCGAAGGATTGTCAGAACAAGGCAGAGGTTGTGACAGGCGATAACCAGACAATGGTCAGATGGTCTCAGTCATCAGCCAGTGGACAGGAGACAAAAATAGGAGATGAGAATGTAGTTGGATCCAGGCAGGGGTTGAGGCAGGTGGCTATCAGAGAGTGGTCAGGTGGTCCAGGCCAGCAATGAGTAGTCAGTAGATAAGGCAGGAGGTGAGAGTGACGTCAGGTCCAGGCAGAAGATCAGGGCAGGCGGCAACAGGAGAACGACCCACAGTCCGAGTCAGCAAACAGAAAACAGTAGCAGTATTAAAGCTCTTTGTACACACAGGAAGCCTGGCTAAAGATGCAGCACCCGGCCCCTTGCTTTGCTGGTGCTTAAGGGCCCATTCACACCACATCCAGATTACCTCCAGACCAGACTGTTTCCGGACCCAAAATGGATCCCAATGTATCCCTATGCTATTTCTGGGCTCTGTTCCCACCAGCGCAGTCTGTTCCAGACCAGTAGAGGCCTGAAAAATGATGCTTGTCCTATTTTGTCTGGTCTGGAATCCACTGGAACGCACCTGTAGGACCATGTCAAGCTAAAAAATAATAATTTCTGATTGCGGCAAAATCGTGGCAAAAAATGCAACGCACTATGTTCCAGATCTGGTCCGGAAAATGGTGGGAACCCAGCCTAAATATCCCTCTGTATTAGAGGTGACATGCCCAGCATCACTTCAGGGCACTCTGGATGTCCTGGTCCGGATTCTGTGGCTATCATTAGCCTTACCGGCCCGAATTCTGTGAGAGCCATTACATTAATGGCAGAGCTCCTGTGAGTACCATCAGAGGTCATGGCGGGTCTTCTGGAAGTCCTCGCTGGGAATCTTGAAGAAGATCTGTAAAAACCTTGCAGGGACTCCAGAGAACACCATAACAGTCTGTCCATCAGTTTGACCCTCTACTTTCACTTTCAAACTGCTCAGAGCAGCCTGAAATCTGCACAAAGGCCTTCACCAACGAAACATCTTAGGCATGCTGTGTGAATGGAAACACAAACCCTCTTCCTCTTACTTCTAGCATTTTATATTGGCTGCCCACGTTGTGCAGTTTACAGTTGTGACTCGTTCTCGGCATCGGTAAGATGCTAAGTATGGAGCCAGGTGCTGGGTGCAATGTAACTCCTATGTATGCCCAGGAGTTACACCACCAGTGGCTGCCTAATATCAAAGAGAAGTGGCGTAGGACCCCAAAGAAGAAGTGGGGCAAAGGCAGAAGTGGGAAACAAAGTGACAACGGTGACCCTAAACTTCCTAGCACTGGAGGAAGAACTCATACTTGCACATTAGCGCAAGAACCCTCGAGCAAGAATTAGAGCAAGAGCCCCCCCCCCCCACACACACACACACACACACACACACACACACACACTGCCACCCAGTTAATTTTAGTTCTGCTTTAATAGTACTCAGTTACTCTTAGAAAGTTGAGCAGATTGAGTCATTTCTAATGATGATTCTTTGCGTACTTGGATCCTTTTTTGTTCCACTGGCAGCTGATAATCTTTCTTACAGCCCAGCAAGCTGCAGACGTATCTCTGACACTGGGAGGAGGCAAAATAATAGATAAGAGGATCCAGACAACAGTTTATGCTGCTGATACCAACACAGAGTATGTAGGGAATATATGAAGAGAAATCAGAGTGATAATATAACTGCAGGTAGTGAGTGAAATGGATGACATTGGTGGGGCCAAAACAAAGGACAAATACACAAAGCACAACCACCGTCAAGATGGTAGCTCGCGATCTCTTATTTGTGTGACCTAATTTGGACCTTCTGAGGCTGCGGATGATTCTAATGTAACAGAAAGTTGTGATGCATAATGGGAAGAAAAAGAAAAGTGGGATGAGAGCTGTAAAATAGTAAAAATAATACCCACGAAGAACTTCAATGTCCTGATTATCATGACATGTTGTGATTTGTAACGTAGAAACTTTCAAGGTCTGTTTACTTATAAGAAGAGGAATGGTGCTGGCCAATGAGATGACCCAGATGATGCCACACACCAGCCAGGCTCGCTTTACTGTGCGCCAGGGGAGAGACCGCACCGGGTAGACCACGGCCAGGAAACGGTCCACGCTGATACTGGTCATGAGCAGGATGGAGCAGTACATGTTACAGTAAAATGCGGCCGTGACAAAGCGACACATTCCTTCTCCGATCACCCAGTTATTTTCCCTGTATCGGTAGACAATATAAAAAGGCAGGACACTAACGAAGAGGACATCTGCAGTGGCGAGGTTCAGCATGAAGACCACTGCCGGCTTCCTGACCTTCATCTTCACCAGGAACATGACGATCGCCATGATATTGAGAGGAAGAGCCACAAGGAACACAACAGTGTAGATGGATGGGATAAGTCTGGTCACACTCCATCGTATGTGTGCAACTCTAAAGTTTTTCTCTAAATAAGCATTCCAATCTGGAAAAATAAAATCAAAATATTAATTTAAACAACTGAACCAGATACATGTAAATTGTATTTTCTTAAAATGTAAAAATATTGATCTTTACTGACAGAATGCCAAAGAACAATGGATTACCACTCAAGCCAGACAAGCTCTGTATGATCTTCTGTATGCAGAGCCAATGAAAACTTTGCCATAAAGAAGAACAGTGGCCAGTCCCTGGACATTCAAATAAATTCACCCTAAAACAAGTTGCCGCTGACTTCTGTAGTTACAGTCACTATGGAGCAATTCATCGTCAAAGTTCACAGTATAGGAAGAGGAATCACCAGCACTCAGTAGAATAATCCAACATGTCCATTTATTGGACATAGACGTCACACAATCACAAGAGCCAACGTTTCAAGACCACGCAGGGTCTCTTCATCAAGGCATCACTCTTTATACCCTGATGAAGAGACCTTTCGTGGTCTCGAAACGTTGGCTCTTGTGATTGTGTGACGTCTATGTCCAATAAATGGACATGTTGGATTATTCTACTGAGTGCTGGTGATTCCTCTTCCTACATTGTGTCTGCACGGTGCCATCTGTGTTCATCACTACAAGCACCATTGTCTACATAGGTCTTGATTGCTGCAAGGTGTGCAGAGGATTTCCCCTTCTATCCAAAGTTCACAATATGGCACAGCACAACAACAGGTCCTAGCCAAATACCGTCTTTCCCCGAAAATAAGACCTAGCACTAGTTTGAAACATTCCTGTAATATAAGACCTACCCCGAAAATAAGACCTAGTTTGGGGGGTGGGCCGGGCCAGAGAGCAACCAGAGCACATGGTGGGGACAAACCTCTGCGCCGCAGCTCCCGCATGCCACCCCTGTCACAAAAGCAGCAGACACCTGTCTGCCTCGGCCTTTGCTTAGAGAGCTGCCCCGCCGGGCAGAAAACTTCATTTCCCAGCAGGCAGCGGCAAGGAACGTATGGGCAGTGGGGTCGGAGTGAGGTGAGGTGACTGAGCCTCAGTCACTGAGGGAACTTTTGACTGGAGGTCCGCGCAGTCCAGCCTGGCGACGAGAGAGGTGGCGATCCCCTGGTGGGGATCCCACCGAGAACTGTGGACGGCATCAGAGCTCCAGGACAGCTGCAGCCTGCAGGTATTACGACACTATTTCAAATAAGACATCCCCCGAAAATAAGACCTAGTGCGTCTTCCTTGGGAAAAAAAATATAAGACAGTGTCTTATTTTCGGGGAAACACGATGCCTTGATGAAGAGACCCTGCGTGGTCTTGAAACGTTGGCTCTTGTGATTATGTGACGTCTATGTCCAATAAATGGACATGTTGGATTATTCTACTGAGTGCTGGTGATTCCTCTTCCTACATTGTGTCTGCACGGTGCCATCTGTGTTCATCACTACAAGCACCATTGTCTACATAGGTCTTGATTGCTGCAAGGTGTGCAGAGGATTTCCCCTTCTATCCAAAGTTCACAATATGGCACAGCACAACAACAGGTCCTAGCCAAATACCGTCTTTCCCCGAAAATAAGACCTAGCACTAGTTTGAAACATTCCTGTAATATAAGACCTACCCCGAAAATAAGACCTAGTTTGGGGGGTGGGCCGGGCCAGAGAGCAACCAGAGCACATGGTGGGGACAAACCTCTGCGCCGCAGCTCCCGCATGCCACCCCTGTCACAAAAGCAGCAGACACCTGTCTGCCTCGGCCTTTGCTTAGAGAGCTGCCCCGCCGGGCAGAAAACTTCATTTCCCAGCAGGCAGCGGCAAGGAACGTATGGGCAGTGGGGTCGGAGTGAGGTGAGGTGACTGAGCCTCAGTCACTGAGGGAACTTTTGACTGGAGGTCCGCGCAGTCCAGCCTGGCGACGAGAGAGGTGGCGATCCCCTGGTGGGGATCCCACCGAGAACTGTGGACGGCATCAGAGCTCCAGGACAGCTGCAGCCTGCAGGTATTACGACACTATTTCAAATAAGACATCCCCCGAAAATAAGACCTAGTGCGTCTTCCTTGGGAAAAAAAATATAAGACAGTGTCTTATTTTCGGGGAAACACGATGCCTTGATGAAGAGACCCTGCGTGGTCTTGAAACGTTGGCTCTTGTGATTATGTGACGTCTATGTCCAATAAATGGACATGTTGGATTATTCTACTGAGTGCTGGTGATTCCTCTTCCTATACTGTGAACTTTGACGATGAATTGCTCCATAGTGACTGTAACTACAGAAGTCAGCGGCAACTTGTTTTAGGGTGAATTTATTTGAATGTCCAGGGACTGGCCACTGTTCTTCTTTATGGCAAAGTATGTATAACTTGACCCCCGACCAATAAAACACAAAAACAATAAAACACAAAAGCTATTTTCCTGTTTGAAAGGGCAAGGCCACAGCTCACAACTTTATTTAAACAGTAATAATTTAAATATATGAGGGAAAAATAGCTAACTACCACAAAAAGAAGAGTACCAGTAACAGCGGAGTCATAAGCACTGATACAGGAAGCATAAAAAGTCTCTCCTAACCATACATTTATGAGGCATACAAGTGATTGTATGGATTTATCTGGTAAATATACAGTAAGCACAGGATGCAATATATTCTAAGGACATTTAATCCTAAGAAAACTATTCTAAGGACATTTTATTCGAAGAAAATCAGTCTAGGAGTATTCAATCAGGAGAAAAAATCCCCTAAAAACATTTGCTCCAAAGGGAAAATATCCTAAGAATGTTTGATTGATAGAGAATCTGTACAACCACAGGACCATCCTTACTATGCTCGGCAACGGCACAAATGGAATATTCATGCTTGAATCTACATGTCATGTACCACTTGCAGTGGCTTTGAGTGAGAACTCAACACACCCTTTTTGTCATGTACTTATGGCACTCCAGAAGTGCTGATAGCAAACTGAGAGCGGGAAGGTCTGTGTTGCTACATGAGTAATAACCATACTGTAAGTACATACCATAAGTACTGTGAACAAGCAGTTTGCATTAGCTGTGACATCTATGCAGGTCAAAATTGCCTCAACTATATCAAACAAAATCAAATCAATCAAATCCAATCCAATGTCAGACACTCCAACTACTGAAGTGTCAACCCCCATCACCACAACCACCACCCAATATTCAACCAGTTATAGTCAGACTGGAGAACCAAGTCCAGGAGAGGGCTTGGCAACATCTATGCAGACAAAGTGATGCTCCGTAGTTAGTAGAGCTCAAGTAACTCTGTATTTATCATTATTATACAGGAATTATATGGCGCCAACAGTTTGCTCAGCGCTTTACAATATAAGGAAGACATTACAATTACAATACAAGACAAGATGGTAAGGAGGGCCCCGCCCCTGAGGGATTACAATCTAAAAGGGAGGGGCCAGTGATACATGAGGAGGTAGCTGTGTGGGGATGATTGTTTGAGAAAGTGATAGTTCAGTGGTCAGGTTGAGGTGGGATCGGCTTCCCTGAAGAGATGAGTCTTAAGGGATCGCCTAAAGGCAGTCAGAGTGGGAGATAGTCGGACCGGTTGGGGTAGAGAGTTCCATAGGGATGGTAGAGGGTCTAGTGAAGTCCTGGAGGTGAGCATGGGAGGAGTTGATGAGGGAAAGTAGAAGGTCATTTGAAGAGTGAAGGGGACGGTTAGGGTGATACTTTGAGACCAGGTTTGAGATATATCCGGGGGCGGAGTTGTGGATGGCTTTGTAAGTGGTTGTTAATATTTTGAACTTTATCCTTTGGGCTATTGGAAGCCAGTGGAGGGATTGACAGACTGGGGTGGGGGATGAAAGCCAGTGGAGGGATTGGCAGAGGGGAGTGGGGGATGAAAGCCAGTGCGGGGATTGGCTGAGGGAGGTGGGGGATGAAAGCCAGTGCAGGGATTGGCAGAGGGTAAATTTTATCCTCTGGGCGAGTGGAAGCCAGTGCAGGGATTGGCAGAGGGGGCGGGGGATGGAAGCCCGTGCAGGGATTGGCAGAGGGGGATGGAAGCCAGGGGTGGGGGATGGAAGCCAGTGTAGGGATTGACAGAGGGGGGTTGCAGACACTGAGCGGTTGGTTAGGTGGATGAGTCTAGAAGCTGCATTCATGATAGACTGAAGGGGGGAGGAGCCTGTGTAGTGGAAGGCCAATGAGGAGGGAGTTGCAATAGTCAAGACGAGAGATGACAAGGGAGTGGATGAGTAATTTTGCGGTGTCATTGGTGAGGAAGGGGCGTATTTTGGAGATGTTACGAAGGTGAAGACGGCAGGATTTGGATAGTGATTGGATGTGGGGAAGAAAGGTCAGGTCCGAGTCACGGATGACACCTAGGACCTTGGCATGGGGGGAGGGGGGGATAGTTGTGTTAACAATCTCAAGGGAAAAGTTGGGGGAAGGTGCACGGGGGGTGTAAATATCATGATACATTAGCTTTAGCTGAACTGTTGCTTCAGCCAAAGCAAATGTAGTCCTGGTGATGCTAGTAGGTCTTCGCTAGGTGTACCTCTAAGAGAGGGGAGCTGAGGGTAAGGAATAAGGGTCCAGAAAGTTGACTAGAAACTCTCAGGTCCAGAAGCAAAGACTCCCTAGGGTGTGAGTGAGGAGCAGGAGAGCTAAGGATTAAGCATATGGAAGCAAGGGTCTTCTGAAAGATGAACTTCTGCTGCTGACTAATGCTACAATCCAAAGATGCAGCAGACGGTA